TTAGCGGTCGAAAGAACTTCGCGTGTAAACGGGCTCTGATTACCAAGTGTGAGGATCTAGGATCGAGCTCAGAAAAGAGAATGTGAATTGAATTGAATGATCACCTGGGTACAACACGAGGCTATATATAGGCTCGACACAAGGCCCCGTAACCAGGTGTTACGCGAAGGTTCCGCGGGTCGCGAAGCGTCCCGAACAGATCCTTCCCGAATTCGGTAGAAGGCAATTCGGTGGCAACCGAAAAGCCAGAATTCGGTGCACGCAACCTAGCTCGGTGCTATAACTAAAACAAAATATAGGAAAGCACCTAGCCTAGGAAATCAAGCAATTCATGCATGCATATAATTATCCTATGCTAGAAATAGCATAATAAAGTAAAGGCAAGCAAGCATAGCTGGCATAAGCCGTCGTACTGTCACAAGTGAGGAGGAGGAGGGACTGTGAGGGGAGAGAAGATTGGAGACGACGGTAGAAGCTGCAGACACACGGGCAACAGGAGCGCGCACACAGTGGCTACCGGGACAGCGCCCCGGACTACTGGAGTAACTGGCTCGGCGGCTATGAGGAGCGGCAAGAGCAACGGACCCACGGGCGACAGGCACAGCAGGCTCTCTGGGCTACCGAGAGCACGACGGCTCCGGACTACTGGCGCTGCAGGCGACACGACGGCAGCCTCCACACAACCTCCCCGACCGTCCCACACCCCTCTCACACACCCCCTGCTGAAACCCTAGCTCCACTCCCACGGCACCCCCCTTAAACCCTAAACCCTCGGCTCCCACATACCCACCCCCCTCAGCGACAGCTGCAGCAGTGGGAGACGGAGGAGGAGGAGGAGGAGCTGCAGGTTACCCACACCGGTCACCCCCATGCCCGCCACCCCCAAACCCTAACGCAGGCAGGAGCGCGGGAAGCAGCAGGGGCGGTTCACGGAGGGAAAGGGAGGCGGCGGGGGGGTCTCCTGGGCGCCACGAAGGAGCAGGGCGCGGGCCCCCCGAGGGCGCCACGGCGGGTGACGGGAGGGGGGCCGCGCACGGGCCCCCGAGGGCGGCTCGACGGGCGACGGGAGGGGCCGCGCGCGGGCCCCCAAGGCGCCGCGACGAGGCGACGGGAGGGGCCGCGCGCGGGCCCCCAAGGCGCCGCGACGAGGCGACGGGAGGGGGCGGCGCGCGGGCCCCCAAGGTGCCGCGACGAGGCGACGGGAGGGGGGGGGGACGCGCGGGCCCCCAAGGCGCCGCGACGAGGCGACGGGAGGGGCCGGCGCGCGGGGCCCCAGGGCGCCGCGACGAGGCGACGGGAGGAGGACGACGGGGGGCAGCGCGCAGGTCCCCGGGGGCGCCACGACGGGCAGGAAACCGCCGCGCGCCTCGGGGCGCACAGCGGGCAGAGAACCGCCGCACGCCCCGAGCGCACGGCGGGATGAAAAACGTCACGCGCTCCGAGCGCGCGGCAGGAAGATAGGGTCGCGCACCCGGGGCGCACGATAGCAGTAGAGCAGCGGAAGCATCGGGCGGGGCCCACCCACAGGATCGACCCAGGAGGGTCGACCTGCTCTGATACCATGTCAGAACTAGTAGGTAGAAACAGTAATGAGAAAAGGAGTGATTGCACTAGCAGCAGTTGAGATACATATAGGAAACTCTAATTGGGTTGTACTCGCTATAGAGTAAACCACCGCAGGCTAGACAATTATAACATTCTGACACAAAAAAGTTCAAGCGGGTGCCTCAAAGAGTGTTTTTAAAAAATCACCCTTGAAAGGATACTCCCAAAAAGTGAAACCAATTATGTAGGGTTGCTACGCAACCCAAAAAATGGACACAGGATAATGTTGTTGTTGTTGCTGTTTTTTTTTTCCCCCTCTCTTCAGACTGATACGGTGCCACCTCTAAAGACTATTTGGCGGAGGGTTCACTGAACGCAACAAGACGTTTCGTCGAAGGCAGTACTGCCTCATCTCCCGCGCTAGTTGGCGGTGCTCCAGCAACAATTTTTGGTTTTTGTCAGGAATCCAACCGTTTTAGCCATTCAGATCCTGGGGTTTGAGATTGGCGAACTACGATGGCAAGCCTCGTCGTTACCTATGGTTACTGGTCAATTGGAATTCCGCGAATTTCGTTTCGAGGCGGGTGGCTAACCGACAATCTGCACAATTGAAGGCACGCACCGCCGGGTCCGATCCGCATTTGGTCGGCTGACGAGAGGAACGATGGATGGATCAAAGTTGAGAGAGGGTTGGTTGTCTTCGGTGCCTTCGATTGAAGCCCAAGAAGAAAACGTTACAGCACCGTAAAAGGGTCTTTCTTTGAAGCACGGGCGAAACCCCTCTCCCTGACACCCAGACCAAGCCATCACAAACAACGCCTGCTGGCGTACGTGTACCCCAATCGAGCGCGCCCGCTGCGCGCAGTATTCGGTTCGGTGTACAGTATCCAGGTTTTGAGGTCCAGTCAAGGGTAGGGCATGAAATGTGCAAACCGCGACCCACGCTCAGCTGCCTGCTGATAACAATCCACTCTGCTTCAATTTGTAGCTTATATCCTCCCCCCTCAGTTCGTTTGCCCACCCACCGTAGAATCTGTCCAAAAGCTGAGGACCTTGGCCTGTTGTCTCCTAACATTCTCGGACCTCACTTCGTTCCAGTAAAATTTTCACCAATGGCTCGCCACTTTCTAGCCCTTCCGCGACTTCTTCCTCTTACACTTGCTCTGGCGTCCGCGCTCCTTGCCACGACGCCACCAACGTGTGCTATATCGAAACTGGAGATGCTGAATGAGATGGTCGTTTTTAGCGAGGACGAACCCTTCCTGTTTGAGAACATGGACGAGAGACTCTCCGCAGCTGCTCTATCCGAGAATCCTGATTGGCTACGCGATGGCGAAAGCACTCATCTTGTTGTAAGCTCGCCTGTGGTACCGAATGGAGAGGTGGAGTCACAGGCTGCCGTACGCGAAGCGTTGGAAAGCCCGTCGTATGTCGTCGGCGTTGCGCACGGCGACAGTGCAGCAGGGAAGATCCTGTCGCAAACAGACGGCAGCCGTCACTTGAGAGGCAGCGGGGATATGTTCTCATCGCAAAGTCGTTGATGAAAGAGGCGACGTTACTGTCTTCCAGATCGGAGCACAAAAGAGTCTTCCCTACATTGCAAAGCTTGCGTCCGGTTCAACCTAAACCGGTTTAGAGAACAGACACCACTCACGCGCAACCTACATGTCGACGGCTGGCACCGCGCAGCAGCCTTGTTACGAGTCATGGTATCCCCTTGCCTCTGTGAGCGACTCTCGCGCTGACGAGGCGACGGCGAGCGTGGTGAACACGAGGAAGTCTTCTCCGTAAATCGTGCGTCGATCTCGAGGAGCGACCTTGAGCCTCGCTCAACAACACATATCGCGTTTCTGTTAACGCGGCGCACAGAAGCACAGAACTGAGTGAAGAATCTCTTTGAATACGGTTATGATACATGTTCTTCTGTGCGGCTCCCTGCAGACGAGGTACTTTAAGTAGGTTTCTCGTAGGCCTGAATAGTATGATAGCCTAGCTCGGCTGCAAGCGGTTGACTTTATCCCTTGTAATTTTGTCTGCGAAGTGTTGGCTCCTCGCCATACTCTTTGAGAACCAGCCTCCTAGTGTTTGTTGAGTAGATTGAGCGTTAAAAGTGGTAACCAAAAATATATTTCCCTCAGCAGCAGGTTATGTTGCTGCATAGCTGGTTGGAGGTCTTAGCTGAGTTGTATAATAGATAGCATGCATGCACCAATGATTGTCTAAGGTAATGAAGTTAGTGGGAAAATGCAATTTAAGCTTGATTTGCCTGGTACGGTTCTTGTATGTTCATCGTGGTCTAATGTGTTGTGTCACAGTGTACTACGATGCAATGAAAAACAGTATTACACCGTATGGATCCGTCCTGAGAATGATAAATGGTATGGCTCGAGCAGTTGTGAAGGCATTAGTTCCCGCAATTTGTTGTCTAAACAAAAATTTGCTGAAATGTAAGCAAGTTATCAGCAGCTGTACGGTGTTATGAATGAACTTGCAGAGTGCGCAGAATAACGAATAACGAGAATGTTGAATACTGAATGACGATGGAATGAAGGCGACGGTAGGGGAAACCCTAGCTAGGCGAAGAGGTCGGGCGAGGATGGCTCGAAAAGTGTTGCGATTGGTGCGGGGGCGAGTTGTTGCGGGAAGGTTGGCCGAACCATCTGACACGTGGCCCTCGGGTGGTACTCGTTAAAAAGTGGGAACAGTAAAAAATCGCAGTTCCTTACATACTGTAAGTTCTGTACTTTTTTCGTGAAGTGGTAACCACTTCTCGGTATTTCTGGTTGGGGAGACTCTCCGCCACCCGCAAACCCCCTAATTCCGCTCCGCCCACCCACCGTACCAAAACAGATTAGGTAACATCGAGATCTCCTTTCCTAAGATCTTCTGGCCTTGGTCTCTGTTTAGCCAAACTGCGTGGCTGGGCTACATACACATGCATATGTGAGCTGACCGTCGTCCTTGATCAATCTGGCTGCGTTTCATTCTCTCGTTTTCGCGGTTTTCCATTTGCACTGAGGGTACACAAGAATTCGTTCGACCCCTGGTGCCGCCATGGGGGATTTTTTGCGGAAAGACTTGGCTGGCCCACCAGGACGCACTAAGGCTCAGAATCGTGCGACCGTTCAACAACTTAAGCTGGTACAATCCCTTGTTTCTCTTGGCTTCTCAATGGTTTTGTTTGTTTCTCTGTTTGTTAGTTCATTTGGTGGTTTTTGTTTCCCGTGTTCTTGTTTTGCTTTTACCAAGATATGCTATTCTTATCCCCTCTTCTCTCTCTCTCTCTCTCTTCCCCCCCCCCCCCCCCCCCCCCCCATCTCTCTCTCTCTCTCTCTCTCTCTCTCTCTCTCTCTCTCTCTCTCTCTCTCTCTCTCTCTCTCTCTCTCTCTCTCTCTCTCTCTCTCTCTCTCCCTCCCTCCCTCCCCCGCTCTATCTCTCTCTTGCTCATTTTCCAGATCGGTCAAAGCCATCCGACTGGCCTTACGCCAAGCCTTCTGAAGCTGTTCGAGCCGCGGCCTTCCTTGGAGTTCAAGGCTCCACTGGAGAAGCGGAAGATGCCGGAGCTAACGGGTGAGTCCTCTAGCCATAGCCTGCGCTTAGCTCCTGATGAAAAATATACAGTATCCCACACTTGTGTTTGCGTGTAATTCGTTGCAACTCGCCTTGTCGCTTTCCCGTTCCTGATTCGCGTGTTCCATCCTCCACCCGTGGTGTCTTCAGGCCTTGCGCAGTTTGTGGACCAGTTCGCGGAGCAGAACGAGACGGAGTACGGCCCGCCTACCACCAAAGGAGAGACCAGAGTGCGTAGCTCCTAACTCACATCCATCTTTCTTGCGGTTGGAGTCGCATCCTGCTCATCACCCCTCTTCGTCGTTCAGGCGACGCTCGGATATACTGTCCACGTTGCACGATCTCGATCGTACCCTTGCGTGGGGCCACTAGTTAGTACCTGACTCTTCAAGTGTTGGTCTCGGATTGTATCTTGACGTTGATGGCTCATCGTGGCGGGGGTGATACTCTGTCGGCCGGGGCGGGATTGTTGTCTTGGAGTTTTATGACGTGAGGGAATGAGGGGGGTTGGGGACTGGTGGGGCGTGGGGGGAGGGTTGGAGGTGTGAGTATGACTGGGGGGTTGGAGGTGTGAGTATGACTGGGGGGTTGGAGGTGTGAGTATGACTGGGGAAAATGTTACGGAGGGAGTGTGTGTGTGATGGAGTGTGTGCATGCGTGCGTGCTTGTATGTGTGCGTGTGCGTGCGTGCAGGAAGAGAAGAAGCAGCGGATTCGCGCGGCGAAGCTGGAGAAGGGCCGCAAGCAGGTCGAGGAGGCACTCGCCGAGTGTAAGCGCATGCATTGCTTTCTGCTTACAGCCGATTCTCTATCTTCTTCCTCCGTCCTTGCAGCCAACTCCCTCGCAGGCTTTAAATTTCAAGTTGTTTTTTTAACGTTCCCTCCGTGGTTACAGCCAACTCTTTCGCAGGCTGTCGCTGTCGTTGTCATCATCTCACCTCGGTTCCTATGTGCGTCCCACCTTTCCGCGTCTTCTCCAGACAACCCGGCTGCCGACCCCAACATTGAGGGCGACCCTTACAAAACCCTTTTCGTGGCTCGTGTCGTAAGTATTGCCCCGCTTTCGCTTCTTCTCCCGTGCTATCTCCATCTCCTGCTTCTCGTTTCCCCTCCATCCCTCATCTCCGCCTGCTTGCGATCCCGTCACATACGACCTGGTCCCGTACTTCATCGTCAGCTCCCAGCACTCTTTGCGTCTCATTCGTTTGATGTACGCCTTACGATGTGTTTGTTCTTTCTGTGATTTCCGTCCCATTTCCCGACCCCTGCCGGTTCCCACCAGAGCTACGAAACCACGGAAACTAAGATACGTAGAGAGTTTGAGGCATATGGGCCAATCCGCAAGGTAAGCCCACTCATGCTGCCGCGTTGCAGCACCCGCGAATGCAACACCGCACTCGTCTCTTCGCCGCTCTATCCGCTACTGCCTGCTGTCGTGTGTTTGTCTTTGTGTGCGTGCTAATGGTTACACCGATGTCTGGCTTTTGCCTGCCATTGTGCGTGTGTGTATGCATGTGCAAACGCGCGCGTGTGTGTGTGCATGTGTGTATGCGTGTATGCGCGCGTGCGTACGTGTGGCATCAGGTGCGTGTGGTGACGAGCACAGTGGACAACAAGCCGCGCGGCTACGCTTTCATCGAGTACCACCACACACGAGACATGAAGAGTGCGTCACCTCTACCCTCTCGGTTTTCCTCACCCGCATGAATTCTCGTCGCTCACAAAAATTCCGTTCTTTGTGAAATTACCCACCTTTCTATCCTACACGTTGCGCTCACTCATACACACCATTCTCCCTGGGTCCTCTCCCTTCCTCTCTTTTCTTCCCCACTCCCTCTCTGTCCTCCCGACCTCGGTCCTCCCCCGTCGGTCCTCCGTGCAGCGGCGTACAAGCAGGGCGACGGGCGCAAGATCGACAACCGGCGCGTGATAGTGGACGTGGAGAGGGGGCGCACTGTGCCCAACTGGCGCCCGCGCAGGCTCGGCGGAGGGCTGGGCTCCACACGCATTGGCGGCGATGAGGTCAACCAGAGGCACTCCGGGAGGGACCCTCCTGCTGTTGTTGCGCCGCCACCGCCGCCCCGCTTGGAAGAGCGACCGAGAGAACGGCCTGTCGAAAAGTGCGGGAAGCAAGGGAGGGGAGACTGGAGCGGGGGGGGGGGGGGGGAGGGGGGGGGTGGGGGGGCGAGGGGGAGTTGATTTTGGGAAGAGGACATTGTCCGACGTGGAAAGGCCCGGGGGGGAATTGGAATGAGTTCTTAACGCCTTGTTAGACTCCTTTCCTTCTGTGCTCAATTTCACCATGAGCTTTCTCTGTCCACCCCACATCTTTTCCCTCTGTCTCCTTTCATACTCGGCCTGCATCGGTTTCCTGCTTTCACTTACATTCGTTCGGGCCACTTATCCTTCATTTCCTCGCGTAGCCTTTTCCCATCCCTCTTTCACCTCGCGTTTTGGGCACACCATCCTTCCACGTTTACAATTCTTCGTGTTCCCCTCCCACACCCCCTCTACCTGCCTCTTCTGCCTTCCCAACCCACGTGCTTCACCATTGTTTGATTCCCGTCTCCCATCTCGGACTATGGTTCCAGGGCGGCGGAAATCGGCCCTCCTGAACGAGCCGAGGCTGTGAAGAAGGAGGAGGCTCCGCTTGAGGAACGGGCGAGAAGCAGGGAGCGCGATGCGGAAAGGGGCAGGGAGAAGAGCAGGGAGAGGAGCCGCGAGAGGAGCAGGGAGAGGGACCGTGACAGGGGCAGGGACAGGGATCGCAGGAGGGATCGTGACAGGGACTATGATCGCAAGGACAGGGATAGGGAGAGGGACAGAGACAGGGACTACGACCGCAGTTACCGCTCACGCTCGCGCGACCGAGAGAGGTACGCTCCCAGGTTTGTCTGAGCTGGGAAGCTCAGCCGTCTAGGCATTGTCATCCATTAGAGGCCTCAAGAGGAAGGCGAAGTTGAGCATTTGAGTTTTGAATGACTGCTGCAGTTCGGGATGCAATTGTCAGATGCGTTTTTTTCAAGCACGCAGATTGCATGTTGCCTTTTGTCGTTTGCTCTCCTTGCAGGGATCGCTAAAGTGGGAGATGATGGCAGTGTTGCAGCTTGTGCAGAGAGTGTTGTGCGCGTGCTAGAACCTACGATGGTGAGAATGGTCGCATGCCTGCACTGTTCGCCCTCCAGTGCTTCGCCCATCATCATACCGCTAAGGCAGCGTGGTTCATCATTCTCGCTGCTGTGAACCTGCCGCTCACATCTGCAGCCTCCAGGGTGCTTCACTGCAGTTCTCCGTTGTAGCTGTTTGGGTAGGTGTGGCCGCTGGTTTGGCTTGTAGTGGTGTAGAGGGGTCAGGATGAATTGAGGAGAGGGGTGGGGAGCTGAGGGGTGGGTAAGTGGCTGTCTAGAAGCATGTGCCAGCTTTGCTGAAGCTTTTGTTTTTCGTTTTGGGCCTGGTAAGGGCCTTCCAGTGTGTGTCAAGTGGTTCCCACAAGGACCTTCACCACTGCGACTTGGTTGCCCTCGGCACGGGACCCTCTTGATTGCGTGCATCTCATCATCCGGATTCTGACAAACCAGAAATGGTAATGAATTGAGACAAGGTATTTTGCGTGTCTCCTCCTGCATTGCATTTTTTTGTTTAGTTTTGTTTTAGTCGTCGCACCTGGCAGTTTGTAAGTATTCGTGTACTCTCCTCTGGTTCTCAGACTAGGTGTCCCATCCAATTCAGGACCACAGGTTGATGGGTGGGTCAAACCCTTAATCCTTTATAGAGTATGCTCATGTAGAGCATTCAGTTCAGAGGTGGTAACAAAGTAGAGTGAAAACAGGCATAGGGTGTTGTACCACTAGATGTCAATGCAGTGTTGTTGGAGCAGGAACATCGATTGGTATGGTGTGTGCATCTTCTGGAATTAGTAGTCAGTAGTAGAGCACTCAGTTGTCAGGATCGTGTGACAGTTTTGATGACTGATGTGAGGAAAATTTATAATTTTAAAGTGTAACACTTTTTCAAATTTCGTATTGTGAAAGCGAGGACGTGGCCAACGCAGCAAAGGTAGCGGCTCGACGCTACTCACCCCTCTTTTGCTTACAAAAGAGGAACGTGATTTCAGTAGCTCCACCCACGTTCTTCATTTCCAACTTCTAGTTTTACTTTCCTAGTTCTCGTTCATCCTGCCGAAGACACAGTCCCTCCCGCGGTTCAAGTCCCCGTCAACTCTTCTTACCGACATTCTTCAACACAACCTCGCGAGTATGGCTCCCGCCAACACTACACTTAATCGAGAGGCGGAAAAGACGACTACCCCGGGTAATACTTCGGAGCACGCGAACGCGTCCGGGGCACCCGACCGCCGCGGAAAACGCCCTGCTGAGGACAATTTCGGCGAGGGCCCCTCAGGAGTCGAAGTTCTGCTCGGGAGCAACTCCCGAGCCCCCTCTGAAGAAGCACGCGCAACTGTTTCACAGTTGCGCGTGCCCCCTGCTGACGAGCGCGTGGCTGCCAGGCAGCCGCGCGATCCGGTCAAGTCAACGGGGGCTGACGCGGACGGCGACGTTGGTCAGCCAGGGCCCACTCTGCAGAAGCGGCAGAAAGCAGCGGCCTCAGCAGAAACTGCCCCAGTCAACCCCCTCGCGTCCCTCACTGCGCAGCAAATGCATGCGCTACTCTCGATGTTACAGCAGAACGCGCCGGTTACAATCGCAACTTCATCCGACTACATTTCAACACCTGCAAAAAATGAAAATCAGAAGGAAGTCACCGCCCCTCGCACCAACAAGGCGGCTCGCGTCAACGAGACCACTGCCGCACCACTTCCCGCGCCCGCACCTGCACCGATCGCCGCTCAAGACGACAGCGACGACTCAGAGAATGAAGATGGTGAGGCCCCCAACAACATTACCCGCCGTCGTATTATTGCACCCGCACCTGTTAGAATCTAGCAGCAGGAATGATGCATTGAACAGAGATGTGGGTACATATGCTAACCCTAATTTGGGTTGTACCCCTTATGGGCTACCCCACTACAGCCTACACAGCATAAGCATGATTATAGTTTGACACACCCCCATAGGCAAAGTGGGGGAGAGCAAGGGGTCACAAGACCAGTCAAGAGAAACAAAGCAAGCTCAGGGTGGATTACAACGTCACCACACACACTGAGCACAAGCAAAGGGCCACAAGGCCAGTTCACATGCAGAGGTATATATGCAACAACAGCATCACAGTGATCTCTACCAAGAAGAGCAAGCAAGCAGGTATATATATAGATCACAGTACAAACAAGGTCTACAGCAAGTGAGGAAAAGTGGGCACAAGGCCTAACAAAGTGCAGAAACGCTGATGATCACCAGACGGAAGTTCCTTGGTGAATATATCAGCAGTGTTGGCCCGAGTGGCCACGTGAGCAAGACGAAGCTGACCTCGCTGCTGCAACTCTCGAGCCAGGAAGTAACGTAGAGCGATGTGCTTCGTTCTGTGCTCCAGTCTGTGCTCCTGACACAAGGCAATGGCGGCCTTGTTGTCTACGTACAGCACTGGAGGAGAACGAGGCCGCTCTCCCAGGTCGGTCAGCAGGTAGGTGAGCCAGCGTAGCTCCTGTGCAGCCATGGCTGTGGCGTAGATCTCAGCCTCACAACTGGAGCCGAGAACAGAAGACGAGCGTGTAGACCGCCAAGAAACAGAGCTTGAGCCAAGGCTGAAGGTGTCACCCTGTGACGACCGCTGTGTAGCTAGGTCTTCAACCCAAGAAGCGTCCGAGTGCCCAGTGAGGACAACTGGGCTCCGCCCTCCAAGCACGAGCCCCATGCCCGATGTACTGCACAAGTAGCGCAGTACCCACTTAGCAGCAGCCATGTGCCGGTCGGTGCCTACCAGGAGCCACGTAGCGAGCGAGAAGGCCAAGAGGGTACGCAAGGTCAGGACGAGTGCAGGTCATCAGGTACATGAGGCAGCCCACTAGCTCTGGGTAGGACCACTCGGCTCTACGGACTCGTCCGAAGGTGGAGCTGAGAGCGAGTGATCTGTAGCCAGAGGAGTGTGCTATGGCGAGAACCAGGTGAAGCCGAAGCGCTGAAGGACCTGCTGCACCATGTGTGACTGAGTCAGTGTGATGGTGCGGCGTGCTCTGTCCCGGGTGATCTGCAAGCCAAGGTAACTGCGCAGCTCACCCAGGTCTGTGCACGTGTGTCTCTTCTGCAGCTCCGACTTCACCAGGGCGAGAGCCTCAGTGTCCGCAGTGGCAAAGACCAAGTCGTCGACGTACACAAGGATGTAGAACGGCGGCAGCGAAGTGTCGGTGCGCAGAAACAGCGACGGGTCAGCAGTAGAAGGCGCGAACCCAAGAGCCGCAAGTGTCGTCCTCAGTGTGTCGTGCCACTCACGTGGCGCCTGGCGGAGACCGTAGACCGGCCGCCGGAGGCTCCACTGGGTACCAGGAGGAAACGACCCAGTGAAGCCAGGAGGGCGGCGCAGCCAGATCTCCTCGTGCAGGCTGCCCTGTAAGAAAGCTGTGCTGAAGTGAAGAGAGTGAAGCTCGTAGTCACGCTGAGCGGCAACGTGCAACAGCACCCGAAGAGTGGTCATCTTCGGGGTGGGGGAGAAGGTCTGAAAGAAGTCAACTCCCTCTCGCTGACTGAAACCTCGAGCAACGTAACGAGCCTTGAAGACAGGCGGAGAACCTAGCGGCCGCTTCACCCTGAAAATCCACATGCCACTGACGATGTTCGCCCCAGGAGGGGGAACCTCGTCGACGTAGGTGCCTGTGGACTTCCAGGATGCCATCTCTGCGTCCATGGCTGTCTGCCACTGAGATGAGTACTCACCCGCGATCGCCTCAGCGTAAGAGCGCGGGGTCGGGATGTCTGGAGCATCCGGGTCTCCCTCAGGGGCAAGCAGCATGGACACGAGATGAGGCGCAGCGGCTGCAAGACACTCAAGGTCCTCCTGCCTGTCCTCAAGGACGTCCGTGCCAAGAGCACACTCACCCCCGACGGACAGAGGACAGACAGACTCAGACTCAGCAACAAGACTAGCGGCGTAGTCTAGGCGACAGGCAGCAGCAAAGTCAACAAGCTCAGCGACTAAGGCAGACGCAGCAGCAGACTCAAATGTTGGGTCAGTGACAACAGTGGCTAGCAGACGTGTGATAGTAGGGCTAGCAGCACGAACGCGGTCAGACTCAGGCTCAGGAACGGTAGGCAGAGAAGACACAGGAGGGGACGGCAGGGGAACACGCTGCGGAGGAGAGGAAGGACGACGAACTACGAGGTGGGTGCCGGGGACAACCGGCTGACGCGAACGAGGAACACGACGACCGAAACGACCAGAACAGACAGGCGAGACAGGACGCGATGCAGGCTCACGACGTTCAGTAAAACCCCCTGACTGCTCAGTGTAAGGAGAAGGAGCAGGCAGCGGTGAGCCAGGCTGTAACGGAAGACCAGTAGACGAAGGGAGACTAAGAACGTGGCGAAGTACAGAGTCAGACGGTGGCTGAGACGACGGAGACGGCGGAGCAAAGAACAGGCGCGGTTGTGCAGTGCCACCAGCACCAGCAGCTCCAGGACCCCCAGCAGCTCTAGCACCTCCAGCAGCACCAGACCCCTCAGCGCCAGCTCCTCCAGGACCAGCTCCACCAGCAGCAGCACCCTCAGAACCAGCACCCCCAATCCCAAGGTCCCCAGCCTCAATGTCACCAGCAGCAGCACCCCCAGACCCAGGGTCTCCAGTAGTAGCACCCTCAGGCTCAGCACCTCCAGCCCCAGCAGCTCCAGTACCTCCAGCACGAGCACCTCCGGGACCAGCACCACTCCCAGCTCCAGTGACGGCAGCAGAAGTACCTCCAACGGCAGAGCGCTGAGCTCCAGAAGCGCGACCCTGACGGCGACCGTACCAGTCGTGCAGCTGCTGAGAGGTGAGAGGCACACGCGGACGAAGGCGGCTACTCCAAGGAGACCGCACAACAGCAAACTCAGAACCCTCAGCGCCAGCACCCGCAGCAGCTCCAAGACCTCCAGCGCCAGTACCCTCAGCAGCTCCAGAACCTCCAGCTCCAGAACCTCTAGCACCAGCACCCGCAGCAGCTCCAGAACCTCCAGCTCCAGCACCCTCAGCAGCTCCAGAACCTCTAGCAGAAACAACTCCAGTAGCAGAGTCACCGGCTCCAGCGCCTCCCGCAGCAGGGCCCCTAGCTCCAGCAGCGCGACCCTGACGGCCAACGTACCACAAACGCAGCTGCTGTG